TATACATATATATACATATATACATATATATACATATATATATACATATATACATATATATACATATATACATATATATACATATATACATATATATACATATATACATATATATATATATATATATATATATAGATATATATATACATATATATACATATATACATATATATATATATATATATATATATATACATATATATATATGTATATATATATATATACATATATATACATATATATATATATATATATACATATATATACATATATATATATATATATATATATACATATATATATATATATATATATATATATATATATACTCTCTCTCCTTCGGCTGTTGTGCTCGGCGGTGTGGATTAGAATCAGGTTTTAAGAGGCTTCTTTCTGGACCAGGGCTTCAATGGGCTTGCAAGATAGGCTGGAGCCCAACTCGGTTGTGGGTTGGGCTTACAAAGGCGCAAGCTTTATAATGATTCTTGCGTCGGATTCCGCTCTTCCGCCCTGCAACCAGGGCTCCCAACGACGGCAGAGAGGGCGGCGGCTGAGTAAGATGGTGGCGGCGTCGGGAACCAATTCATGGGCTAAAGAAATGGTCATCCGAAGGAGGATAGCCAACATGTAATTCTACCTCTCTCTCTCTCTCTCTCTCTCTCTCTCTCTCTCTCTCTCTCTCTCTCTCTCTCTCTCTCTCTCTTTTTAGGTAATCGCAACACCATGCTTGATTCTTGGTATACATACATGTTTTGATCAGTTTAAAGAACTAAGCAAACAACCTTTTGTCGTGTGAAATATGTTTCTTGTGTAGCACTTTCTCCTTAATTTTTCATTTTAATGGAACAAAATCAGGTTTCTGAGCGAAGATTGATGATGGAGTCTGCATCTGTTGTCTTGCTTCTTGAACTAAGTATGATAATTGAGACTGATAATTGATTGTAACTGGATGAATGGCGATGGATTTTAGGGATATATTAACAAGATGCAAGCAGTTTTATTAGATTTTATGAGAAGAGCTACAACCACGTTGATGTTGGCTTAAATCTATGATCGTATGTTTAGGTTGTTCTCACGATATTTTTTTTCTAATGCATCTTAAAAAGGGATTTTATAACCTTTGACGTTCTGCTGGTTAATTTTCTTTGTATATAATGTTAGTTATGTAGAAGGCAGCTAGAAAGTGGTTGCTGCATTGCTTGGTTGTAGCTTGATTATCTCCTAGAAACTCTGTTAGTTATTTTCTATTTGATCGTTCATTCTTTCCATTCTTGTGAGCTTTAAAGCAGTATCTATTTGACCGGTTGTCCTTTCATCAGATGTCCTAAAAAAGTGCTTGGTTTTGTTAATGTACCATTATGTTGTGTGCTTGCTTATTCTATATCTTTCCTTGATGAAAAATCGTGTATACAGTGATGCTAATCATGGAATTCTTAGTTATAATGATCAAGGGCTTAACTGATTTCATGAAATTAACCTGGATGTTTATTTGTTATAATCATTGCACATGTTATGTGCAAACTTTTAAATTTGGTTTATCAGATGTAAATTCAGAGACAAAAATCAAATCATAACTATTCCAGTTGCTCAATCTCTACTGAGTTAGTTTTTTTTTTTTTTCTACTTTATCAAGTTCGGAAGTATAGGATCTTACATATTAATTCAATTCTAGAGTCAGGTAGTTAGTAAAAGTTCAAACTAGAGTTGCAGCAGATCTTTGCTCTTGGTTGTGATAATCTTCTTCAAGAGTTTCCAGTATTGATTGCTCCAGACGTGGCCATTAGAAACAGCGGGGAAATGGAATTTTTCAATAGAGAAAGCTTATGAATGTTGGTCCTGTTTTGATTAATTTCAGAAAGATGTTCCTGAAATTGTCCTTATAAATTTTAATATGATTGCCTTATTTGTGTAGGACACTGACACTTTGTGGATACTTCCTGAGATGTGGATGCTTGTGAAATATTCGGATATACAATTGTCATCTGTGCTTATATATGTTAATTTAAGAAACATAAATATCTGTGTAGAATATTTTTGCAAGTATATTAGACTTTTGTTATTTATGACTGTGATTATGTCCTTAATGTCTATCAAATTTTAAATAATTTTGCAAGTGATTGTTATGTTCCTTATAAGTTTGAATATAACCCTTTCTGTGATAATTCTCTTTTATTCCTACTGCAGATTTAATAAGAGGGAAGACGATTTTCCATCTCTTAAAGACTACAATGACTATTTGGAAGAAGTTGAGGATATGAGTCAGTATGCTCAAGCTTATTTTTCCCTGTACATTAATGTCGGACATCTTAGTTAATTGCATTTTGTTTGCCTCCTGTGACTAGCTTCCAATTTAGTTGAAGGAATTGATGTTGCTGTAATTGAAGCTAAGATCGCTAAATACCAAGAAGAGAATGCTGAACAAATAATTAATGCTCGAGCACGTAAGGTACACTAGAAGAAAAGTATGCAATTGTTTGGTACTATCTTGTATTTGTCAGACTTTGAAGTTACTTCTCATTGATAGCATTTTCTACCACATTTAATTGTTCTGGTATTGTAACGCTTTGGTACAGGCTGAAGAATTAGCAGCGGCACTAAGGGCAAGCCAAAATCCAAGCCTGGTGGATCCAGCTGATGCAGTGAGTTATACAGTTTAAGTGAATCTTTTCATACCAAGAATTCATTTGAATAGGCAATGCTACATAATATTTAGACAATTAATCTACAGATTCTTTAGATATCAATTTTTGATTTATTTTAGGATCTCATTTCATTCTGTTCCTTTTCGTTTGTGTCTAGTACTTGTTAAGCTTCTTCCAGTGTGTTGAAATAACTTATTCAGAATTGTATTACTAAGAGCATTTCAATCAGTTCGTTGCTTTTATTATTAGTGCTTGATGTTCGTCTCCCTTGACCTTGACCAGAAACTACTGGTCTGCATTGTTAGACGAGCAGAATTTTAATGTTTTATGTTGATCTAATGTCACATGAGAGAATTTAATTTCTCTATCTGCAAGGTCATGTAGGAGATCTAGTTGATGGAGGCAAAACAATTTTTTCTGATGAAAAGTCCTCCAATTCAATAGGTGTAACTGCTTTTTAATAATGGACACTTCTTGGTTTTAAAAACATTTCTTTCTGCAGATATGCTACTACAACAACCATAGGTCAGATTGGTACATATCAAATCAGATTTACTGGTCCGATCAAGTATTCGATATTGATATGAATATATTCGTTTTATTATTTGCCTTACAGTATATGTTGGTGTACTACCCAGTATATTGGTATTATGCTTGTCTGATTGGTCATCAGAATTAGTGTTGGATTCTGATTCTAAAATCCTTGACATCAACAACAACTAATATCCCAGCTATTTGTTCTCCGTTATATGATTCTCTTTTCACCATTGAGCTTCCGCAGGTTTGCTGCACGCATACAATTTGTTGTATGCGATCAATTTAACACAGTGGCTCAGATAAGGATTCAACATAATGTCAGATCTTGGAATCAGGATAGAATAAAAAAGATGCTGGATCTAGTTTGACAGCTATCTGAAAAAAAGTTCATGGGGCTTCTTCACTATATGATATGCATATATATACACACTCAAAAACGGTTGGTCTTTGTAAACATCTTCCTGTTGGGAGTCTTAGCTTTAAGCTTAATTTGCTCTGAGCTTGTTCAAGTCTTCACAAGGATAAACAATATCATCTTAAAATTGCTATGATCTAAATCACCTTTGCCTTATTTTTTCTGGAAATGAGGTTGTAGTGGTAATGGGACAAACATAGGACCAGTCCACTCTGTATGGACAGGTTACCAGGTTGGTTTTGCTCAACTATAGCAGCCACTGATGATTGACCAAATATCTTATAGTAGATATTTTTTTTCTTCTGTTCGTGCAATGACTTCTATAAATAGATTGAAGTTGTGTTGTGATCCATTGGTGAATGATTGAATTCTTGGTGTTTTTTTTTCTAAATCATGCCATCTATGTCCTGATCAAGCACACATTTTCATATCTCTTGAAACCTAGTATCTTTTTCCTTCTTACATTTTGGAGTCTGCTCCATCACTGGCTCCTATCTTAAATTCTGCTGAGCATAGTTACTAGTATTTTCCTTTATTGGTTTCTGTAGGAATGCACTAGATTTATGAGTTGATATACCCGATATCATATTGCTGACAAATGCATGTATATTGATGTGTTTGTTTTTTATTTGTTATGCAAGTTTTATAATTGATCTTTGGCCTCGTGTGTATTTTTGTTAGGAGATGCTAACATGACATGGCTTTATATGAACCTTAAAAACTCAGGGTCCTGGACCAAGTTCACAAGGGGTTGGTGTCGGCAGTCAAGGGCAATATGCTCCTGCTGCTGTCCCTGGTGGATTAATGCAACCGCGACCTACGGGTATGGCTCCACAGCCTGTTCCTGTTGGAGCTCCAGCAGATCCTCTGCAAGGGTATGCAGCTGAGGATGAAGATACCATGAAGCTACGAGCCGAGAGGGGGGCCCGAGCTGGAGGATGGACAATTGAGCTGAGCAAGAGGAGGGCAATCGAAGAAGCCTTCAGTGGCATATGGGTATGAAACAGGAACAGAAGGAAAGCTTGGTTTGGCCATGACAAGTTGCAGATGACCATATCATCCTGATTTACATGTTGAACGCCAAATGCGCTCTCCTTTTCTTCTTGTTAGTCATTTCGCTCTGGTCCACTTCAATTTGATCCTGAGGAGTTACTATGGTGATGTTTGCTGAAAGGAATTTTTCATAGTGTGTGCTAGCTTCAGCAGATGTAACATATTTGTATTTCTGTAACGAATTGTTGAATGTTAGCCATCTTTTTGGTACATTGTTTTAGGCTTCTCAATGCTCTCTTCCACTGATGGGTTTTCATAAGCTATTGTCACAGCTTGTTTTCTCAGGGTAGTAAATCAAACATGCTAATTCTTATTCCAATTTCATCAGAAATTTTGGAACGCTTGTGAAGAACAATGTTCTTTGGTGATTGTCTCTGTATTTGGGTCATCATATGGACGGATTTATATGAAATTTGGATGTTTCTAAAAAGAAAGCCACCTTCGTGTACTGTACTTGTTTATGCAACAATGTTCCTTTGGAACATCTCCATTACAAATCTTGGTGTGTTACATGTAAATCACTGTTCCAGAAGTTGGATGTCATTGATATATGATGTATCTCATGGCCTTTTCTTGTCGCCATCTATCAAACATCATCATTTATCAAAGACATTAATAAGAAGAGAGGGAAACCTGCTTACAGTCAGGTATGGTGGTGCAATACAACAAAAAAGCCTAGCTGGATCTCTTCTTGTTCTCTCTTCCAAAATAGCACTCAATCGCAGTGGCCTTACCAAGAGAACCAGCATGCAATGGCCATGAAGTGATGTTGAATGCATCATATTAGAAGCTTAGAATGAATTGAGAATCCATCAGAATGATAACCATACAAGGTGTAAATACACATCACAAATTCCTACTCCAAACTCGAAACTCGATCTTATTAGCATCTCCATCTTGCCTACCAACTGAGATAAAGCCATGAGGCTCCACTGTCAGGTATGGTGGTGCAACACAACAAA